TAGTCCTAAAACAAGATGTTGACGCCCATGAAATTTATATAAGAATGCCATTTCCGAAAATCCATTTGATTGCATTGTCAGTTCAATATCCAACACTCTTAATTTTTTTTATTGTAAAATTTCTCTCTTCATGGACCATATCTATGTTGTTTTTTTTATTGAATCCTAATTCGTCATCACGATTCATGTTTGTTTATAAATGCAAGTGTTATTGACAACTGTCCCAGACCCTCATTATTTATATGGCCGACCTTTTCTTCGGCGTACACCGGCACGGTATTAGACTAGGATAACAGTCCCGAAACTCATGGAGTTGAAGAACATTAGTCTTATATACCGCCTCTACTTAATTATGGAAGTAGGTTGGAAAAATGTAAAATTTGGCAATTTGACTTATACTCAACATCGACTTATACCCTGTATGGTAATGTGATGATGCCCCCTCTTCCAGACAAGACATAGGCTATAACTGTTTCAAATGACAAGTGCTAAATGAAGTATTTATGTGGTCTTTGGTGAAAGAAATGAAATGAAATGAAATGGGGTTTAACGTCCTACTGTTCTGCTCCTAACCTGGGCTAATGAAGACGAGCATATGCCATACAGTGTACTATGAGGGAAATTTTGCCTGAGCAGCGGGGCTACGGCTTACTCTTATATCGAATTCCAACTGCCAAGGGATCTTTTACGTGCATGCCAATGTCTACACGGGACCTCGGTTTTTCGTCCCATAACGACTAGACAGCTGTCCGTCTGTCAGTTCCTCCGTCCTGCATCACTGACAAGGGAAACCACGCCGGAAAATCAGGATGAACTTTCTCGGCCAATACAGGGATCGAACACCCGATCTCCAGGCTAGCGAGCCAGCGTCTTACCCACTTAGCCACTTGATCCCCCCCTTTGGTGAAAGAGAGAGAGAGAGAAATGGGGTTTACCGTCCACTCGACACAAACTAGGTCATTTCGGGACTAACATATGGTTTAATTTTTTATTTACATAATTCGCTTGCGCGTAGGGGTCTTTAGCAGTGGGAGGAAACCGAAGGACCCGGAGAAAACCCACGAGGTTGGACAGGCGACCCTACTCCTTGCCACGTACAACCGGGGTTTCGAAACCACGCCATTCGACTCAATGACAGACTTTATGATACAGCGCGCGCACGCTAACCATTCAGCCATCCACCAACCCCCCACCCCCCTTTGTTGAAAGAAAACAGAGCTGTGGCTAGTGAAATGAAAGTTTAACGTCCTACTGTTTTGCTCTGAACTGGGCTAATGAAGATGGGCATACGCCATACAGTGTGCTATGTGGGAAATTTTGCCCGGACAGTGGCACTACGGCCTTCTCTTATATCGAATTCTAACTTCAAGGGCTCTTGTACGTGCACGCCAATGTGTACATGGGACCTCATTTTTTTTGTCCCATTTTAATGACTAGACAGCTGTCTTGTCTAGCCCTCTGTCCTGCATCACTGACAAGGGAGAACCACGCCCGAAAATCTGGAGTAACTTTCTCGGCCAATGCAGGGATCGAACACCCGACCTCCAGACTAGATAGCCAGTGTCTTACCGACTTAACCAACGTGATCCCCGTTGTGGCTACAATTCCTGGATTTGAAGGTCAGGTATGATATGAAACGAATATTTTTAACCGGTTCACCAATGCAACCAATCCGTGACGGGTTAACTGATAGAGGGTTACATCCTTGATATAAATATACTTGTCGCGGGTTTTAAAAATAGAAATATATATATAAAGGTAGCTCAAAATTCATCTCTACATGTACAGAGGCCAAGGGGGGATCATGTGGCTAAGTGGGTAAGACGCTGACTCGCTAGCCTTGAGGTCGGGTGTTCGATCCCTGCATTGGCCGAGAAAGTTCATCCTGATTTTCCGGTGTGGTTTCCCATTGTCAGTGATGCAGGACGGAGGGCCTGACGAAGACAGCTGTCTAGTCGTTTGGATGGGACAAAAAAACAAAACAAGGTCCAGTGTACACATTGGCGTGCACATAAAAGATCCCCTGGCAGTTGGCATTCGATACAAGAGTAGGCCATAGCGCTGCTGCCCGGGCAAAATTTCCCTCATAGCACACTGTATGGCGTAACCTTTTGCGTCTCTTCAAAATATTTCAAATCTTTTGTCATGGATCAACCATTGCAAATATCCGTGTTACAATTATATTTGAAATGTGTTAAACCAATTCTGCAACACATGTAATATTGGTGTAGTATATATCTTTGTTTATACACCCACATATCAATTTTGGCCCTGTTTGTCCGTACACTGGGTGTGAAATGTGAATCATTCCGATTGTGAGAGGACAAGCATTATCAATATACAGCTTTTCAGGACTTTGCTTTCCTTGGTTAATTCTCCCTAGTCTAGTCGTTTGGATGGTACGAATGATCGAGGTCCTGTGCACACATTGGTGTGCACGTGAAAGATCCCTTGGCAGTTTGAATTCGATATAAGAGTAGGCTTTAGCGCCGCTGTCTGGATAAAATTCCATAATAGGACACTGTATAGCATATTTCCATGTCATTAGCCCTGTCGGAATAGGACGTTAAACCCATTTCATTTCACTCATTCCAAAGTTAACTTCTATTCCATCAATACCTTGAGCAAATAAGATAGAGGCTATAGGTTTTGGCCCAATTTGGTCAATATCCCAGTTTTTTCTTTCTTATATGCATATCAACACTTTCATAGCGCTAATGTAGACCTTTTTCTTGAACATTTTCCCGTGTCAGTGATGCCGGACAGAGGACCTGACATGGATGGCTGACTAGTCATACGGAAGGGACAAAAAAATCAAGGTACAGTGTAAACTCAAGTGTGTGTGTGTGTGAAAGATCCCTTGGCAGTTGGAATTTTATATAAGAGTACGCCATAGCTCTGCACACTGTGTGGCATATGCCCGTCTTCATTTCTCAAACAGCTGTGGATAAAAACTGTTAATATTTAAATGTGTATTTTGTATTTTATAACATTATATTTTTGTCTTTTAAATAAAGTATATGTATACATACTTGTAGTATATTTTGTCATATAATTCTGCTAGATTTTTAACATTTCTGTGCAATACATTTAGAATTCTGACTGGTTATGGGTAGATAGAGAGCAATGGGGTAAAACATCCAATAGACATAAACTGTCCTTTGGGACTAAGGGATTCAATTCAAGTTGAATAATTCATCCGCACCAGGAATCTTTAATAGTAGGAGGACCCAGAGAAAACCCATGTTCAAGTTGGGTGTGGAAACAAACCACTTGACTCAATGACAGACCTTATGATCTAAAGCGCACACGTTGGACCACTCAACTTTTAGCCTCACCCACAGGTCAGGAAAATTTGATTATTGGTTGAATGTACTTCCCATTTACTGCCGCAAATAATGAATAATTTTGAAGGTTTTAATGCTCATCAAAATTTGACTTTAGAATTGCATCCGTAAATGATGTTAATTTAATGTTAGATTTACGGTATAATGATCGGTTAGATATCCATCATTTTGCTCATCCTTTTAACGACAATTTAACGTCAGGAAATGACGTTAATCTAGCGTAAAGTTTACGTCATTTTTACGTTATATTTACATCATTTTCTGACGTAAATCTAACGTAAAGTTTACGTCATTTTCTGACGTAAATCTAACGAAAATGACGTAAACTTTACGCAAATTTTACGTTAGATTTACGTCAGAAAATGACGTAAAGTTTACGTTAGATCTACGTCAGAAAATGACGTAAATATAACGTAAAAATGACGTAAAGTTTACGTTAGATTAACGTCATTTCCTGACGTAAAATTATCGTTAAAAAGATGAGCAAAATGATGGTAAACTGACTGACCATTTTTACGTAAATGTAACGTAAAATTAACATCATATTGTTATGTGGGTAAGGGAGGTAACTCCTCTTAAAACAAGATGTTTACGCCCATGAAATTAATTTAAGAATGTCATTTCAAAAAATCCATTTGATTGCATGCGAGTTCAATATCTAACACTCTTAATTTTTTATTGTAAAATTTCTCTCTTCATGGGCCATATCTATGCTTTTAAAATTAATCCTAATTCGTCGTCACGATTCATGTTTGTTTATATAAATGCATGGGATTTATTGTGGGAAGGGGCGCAACTCTTACTTGACTTGGATAAAGAGACTGGATAATCAACCACATTAAAAACAAAACTCCCGGTTACGCATGGGCAATGGACTTTACGTCAAATATTAACAACCTTCCCAGACCTAGACTGGATAACCTACTCTAATACGTCTGACCCGCTCCTACGTCACTCCTTTTCTGACTTGCATATAGAGACAGGAAGTTGGCAGCCATGTTTTGACATAGTGTTACTAAAAATAGACGGGTATCCCTAATGATGGCGTTCAGCGTTAAAATGAGTAAACTAGAAGATTTGTTAATCTTATCTTTAATGTCTAAGATTGCTTTAGCCAAATTAAACGTTGTTCGTGCGACATCTTATTGTTATCTTAAACGCAAACAAAGCTACAGTTTAAAATCAGCTCTTATAATCACTCAGGAGTCAGATACAATCGTAGGCCTACCGGCTACGGCAACTCGCTCATCATACTCATTTTTCATTTGTTTTATTGCCGTATTTCCCAAATTCCAAAATATTAATTATTGTTTCCATTATTGAGACAAAATTGCATAGTTTCGGCTCTAATCCACAAGCTAAACATAAACTACCACTGCATTTAATTGGTGTTGACATCTTTATTGCATAATTCAGCGTCCGATCACATTTTTGTTTACATTGGTAATGTGCGCAGAAAGAGATGCGCACTGCCGGGAGGAATTCCTCCTGGCAAGATGGCTGACCGCTACCTGTCTCCAAAGCCCTGTATAGGGATATTGGGGATATTGAAGTCGGAATAGCGCAGTGACGTAGGAACCAGCCTGACGTCATTTAGAGCAGGTTGTCCAGACTATCCCAGACCCTCCGTATGTACATAGAACTAGAATACTAACGGGAACGCCCACTCGGTGACGTATAACGGTGATGACATAATTATGTTGTACATCGCATGCGCGAAGTCAATAAGGCACAAGTAACTTCCGGCCGTATGTCAACATGGCAGAAGCGTACGACGTCCTGGAATTTCAAGAACTTGACGGTGTGATAGATGTAAGTTATTCATAATTTTAATGAGTTTTTTTTAAATTAGTTATATAACATACCATCGGGAGTATAAACCATTTATTTTCGGACATTAAATTATCCGAACACACGTTTGTGTATCATTTTCTACTACATATTATAAAATTATTATTAATAAATTGTGATGACATTCACATTTGATTTAGGACTTGTTATTATTTTTATTTATTGTTTTGTGTATATTGTTGTTAGCCTTTGGCATGTCCGTGCCAGTTTTGGCTGGTTTCCCAGTGCCCTTTTCTTGTTTATAACAAGGGGTTTTACATAGGCTAAGCCTGTTCCCCAATCCCATTCAGACATCCTGAATAAAAATATTGTTTATAAAAAAAAAATGTGTATTCTTTACTACAGCTTTTCTTTGGTAAAGATTTGTTTGAGACATCTCAACCTGTCGTTCCAGTAGCATCCGTAAGTTTTCTACATATACAACATACATACATATAGTCACATAGTGTTCGTAGCAAATGGGCAAGTTATGAAACTCATTATAGTCTCGACCATGTCTATATATTTTTTTTCTTCTCAAACGATCAAATTGCTTTGGAAATGAAATGAAATGGGGTTTTACGTCCTACTGTTCTGCTCCTATGCTGGGCTAATGAAGACAGGCATACGCCATAAGGTGTGATTTAAGGGAAATTTTGCCCGGGCAGCGGCACTATCACCTATTCTTATATCGAATTCCAACTGCCAAGGGATCTTTTACGTGCATTCCAATGTATACAGGTGACCTCGGGTTTTCGTATCATCCGAAGGATTAGACAGCTGTCCTTGTCAGGCCCTCCGTACTGCATCACTGACAAGGAGGAACCACGCCGGAAAATCTGGATGAACTTTCTCGGCCAATGCAGGGATCGAACACCCGACCTCCAGGCTAGCGAGCCAGCGTCTTACCCACTTAGCCACGTGATCCCAAATTGCTTTGGAACAGTTTCTTTTATTTTGTATAATATTTACTTTAAAGGGACAATAACACTCTTGCTGGCTTGAAAGCTCCAGAAAATAAATAATATCTCTATCTAAGTACTAGATGTTTAAGTGTCCCACCTGTTGTGTAAATTATCCATTACATCCTATTTTACTTGTCCAGAGGGTTCGAAAATATTTTTAAATCGAAGTTTCATTTGAAAAGGTTTACGTTAGACGTTTCAAACCATTATGTTGAATTTTTTAAATAAGGTGTGTTAAGATGAAATTTGTATCATCAATTAATTGAAATATTCTAAAATAGTTAAATTTGTTGACCAGAATAAAGATTGGGACATATTATTCAGTTACAACAAGAGTGGTATTGAGCCTTTAAAGAACTGTATTAATTTGGTATCAAGCTCGTAATTAGATAAAATTGTGAGGGAAATTATAACCTCCAACCCTGTCTTTGGTTGTGTACAGATTTACACTGGTAATTTTAATTCATAGCTATTGATTTTGTTTGGGTTTTTTTACGTGGTTTTCATTGTTATTTATTTTCTTTTTAAGATTCAAACTAATCCAGTTAAATTTAATGGGAAAGTTCAAGTAGTGGTTATATGAAAAATGATCTGATGTTCACATGATCTCAAGGGTTTGCCGAACCTCAATCGAGTTTAACCCCAACAAGGAATATTATACATCAAAACTGTTCATCTGCCTGTGCATTTTCTAGTATAAGTTTATCATCATTTGGAACAAATGGTTAAATTACTATTCAAGATAACTAATTTAAAAAACAAGAACAATATGTGGTTGGAATGATCCAAGGCTCTGTTCAAAGATATTTTATTCACATGACAGTGATGCTTGTTAAATAAAACTTGTGAATTTAACAGATAATGGCCATTGATAAACACTAAGGCAAATAGAAATGCACAAAAAAATCCATAAGCTTATGATAATAATGATTAAACATACATTATGCGAGAGCTAAATCTGCCTATTGCAGGTTTTCTTTAGGCCTGAAATGTATTCTAAATTATTAATTAGACATTAATTAACTTATCCAGGCCCTAATCAACTCTCGATGGCATCGGATTTCTCCAATATTAAATAGATTAGAACAGTTCAGCCATATTTTGATTTAAGCTAAAAATGGAGGAGTGAGACTACTTCGAACAACCAGTACGATGGTTGAAATTATTGCACACGTCTTGTCAAACCTTCAAAGGCCTTCAAAGGCTAATATCTTCGCTTGCAATAGAGTAATTTGAATGAAATTTTCGAATTATTCATTTTACATTATTTATCTTCGAACTATTATAGCAAGAATGGCTAGCTCTTTATCAAAATCTTACATAATGTATATTTAAGAATAATTTAATACATTTATAAAGCTCACACATTACAAGTTGTGCACCTGTATAAAATTTGTATAAATTTTGTTATCATCGTTAATATTTTATACTGAGATGCAATAAAAATAATACATCACTTTTATAAATGGATGAATGTAAATCTTGTTTGAAATGAATCCAGGTTTAACGCCCTACTTAGTACTTTTCAGCTCAATTTTGTTTTAAAGATTTGCTTTAATCTTGCAATTAAGGATGTAACAACATATTACGATGATAACATGTGAGAATGTTTTGAAGATTGCGTAAACGCAACCCGAACAATTCTCAATCAAAAAAATTAAACCCAACAGAATCAGTATGTTGATTTTTCTGGTACACACGTGGGGTATATAATGCAGCTTTTAAAAAGCTAGGTTTTGTGCAACTGTGGAAGGTGCAAAGTTATGCCACGTCATCTCAGAGGTGCTATTTCATTGCGTCTCGATATATTTTGTTTACTATTATCAACCTGGCCCCAAGTTCACAAAGCATTCCCAGACTTAAGAATTTGCTCAACTTTCAATCACTGTTTTTGAGAAATATCTTTGATCCAGAAACACAAAACTTTGCACATAGTTTCTTATTGATATATTTACATTAAAACAACAATAGTTAGTAAAGTGCTATATTTAAGTTAAAATAAGACAAACAATTTTGAGTAAAACCTTAACTTAAGACTGAGAATGCTTTGTGAACTTGGGGCCTTGTTTTCTTTTCATTACTTATTATCTACAATACAGTAATAACAAGAAATAAAAAATCTGTAGAACACTGCTGATTAAGTTCTAGATTTAATCCTAGATTCAATCACATTTATATTTTTATACTTCCAATATCGATATTAATTCCAATAGAGCCAGGTGATGTTTAGTTTAATTATACACTTTCTATTTTGTTGTATGAAATTATCTGTATAATCTGTGTTTTTGTTACTTTCATTGTGTGAAATGCTTGCAGCAAAGTGCTGTAAATAAAATACCTGACATCACTGATCACAGTTTAACTCTATAACTTCTCATTTGACCTCAAATCTATGTGGAGTGGAGTCAGTTGGAAGAAATAAATCAAAATGGAGTGAAATCTACATTTTAATCAAATTCGTACCACATGATTATATTCTACCACTTTTTGCTCGTTTATATGGCAACTATATATTATTGCTAAGCTATTTTTGAATTGTAAATTACATTTACAAGTATGTAAATATTGATTCTTTGAATTATATATTGTCAATCAAAATCTGAATATGCAATGTGCTATGTAGCCATATATGTGAAATAAACTATTATTATTGCTATTTACTTTCTCTGTAAATCTCTGTTAATCTGTCGACAACTTAAACAAATTTCTTTTTGAGTGTCCTCAACAAAACTATTACATACAGAAGCAAGTACACAGCTTTCGTAATTTATATACTATTCAAAAAAAGTAGGGGATATTTGATTTTTAAGTGTTATTAAAGTCACCTAATGAAACTGACGAAGAAACAAATGACAAAATGAAATGAAGTTCACATTCATCGATTTATTCCAAATGATCGTTAGACTAAGTAAGGCACAGACTGACCATTATAAGGGTAAAATGATACCCGGGGTCAAACAGCAAAGTTACCACAGCATCACAACCAAGTCAGTAACGGGTAAATCCTCCTCTGTTTGCCAAACAAGCATTGATCCGACGTGGCATACTCCTAATGAGACGTCTAAGGTCATTTTGGTCCAGATTGTCCCATTCCTGTTGCAACGCAGCAGCAAGTTCTTGGACATCGGCAGGACGTTGTTGACGTTGACGTAACCTCTGTCCAAGCATGTCCCAGACATGCTCGATGGGGGAGAGGTCGGGACTCAGTGCTGGCCAAGGTAATGTGGTGATGTTCTGTTGTTAGAGGTAACCTGTAACGATCCTGGCCCTGTGACATCTTGCGTTGTCATCCTGGAAGATGAAACGGCGGCCATGACGTCGTGCGAACGGCACAACATGGACTGCCAAGATGTTGTCCCGGTAGTACTGGCCTGTAACACGCCCTGCAACACCATGTAAAGCCGTTCTTCCAGCAACAGTGATGCCTCCCCACACCATAACAGAACCACCCCCAAATCGATCATGTCTGATGACGTTAACGTCTTGGAAGCGCTCGTTTCGACGACGCCACACCCTCCTACGTCTGTCCAAAAAATCAACAGTGAACCTTGACTCATCTGAAAACATCACATTGCTCCAGCGTCGATTATCCCAGTGTTGACGATCCCTACACCAATGACGTCTTGCCTGAATGTGATGATCTCTCAAACAAGGGATCACGCGAGGACGTCGGGCGCGAAGGTGACCCCTATGCAGTCGATTCCGAATCGTCTGGCCACTCACTCTCACACCAGTGTCTGTTTGAAGACGAGCGCTGATCTGATTTGCTGTGATGACACGATTTCTCAAGGCCAAGGTACGGATAAATCGATCCTGGGCTTGAGTTGTCGCCCTTGGTCGACCTGAGCGTGGTCTGTCCTGTACAGATTGTGTATCACGGTATCTGGACCATAGCCTGCTTATGACAGACTGAGAAACATTCATCGTCCGCGCCACAACCGCCTGTGTTGTGCCGATCTGTAGCATGCCAAGGGCACGTAACCTTTCATTTTGGGTAAGCCGACGCATATCAAAATTTGTTTTCTGGTCACTAAAACAATTAAACTGATGTTTCCACCCTGGAATTCAATGCCACAATGACTGTAACATTCAGAGTCAGAGTCGTGCAAATCTTGGGTTGGACCCCCATGATGATCCCAAGCATCACCTGCATTCCATGCGGTAGCTATTGGTGCGTTTGGGCGTCACATGTAACTGGAAATGTTTCTTCTGTTAGGTTCTATAGTGACTTTTTTCGTAGTCATTTGCATATTTTAGTATTATGCCCCCAAAATCAAATATCCCCTACTTTTTTTGAATAGTATATGTTGACTTATTTGTGTTCATGAAAAGATCAACCTGTCTGATATATCTTACAGTTGTAGGGTGACATTGAAAATAAGACTGTAAATGTTTTGATGTTATGCCCCTACATATCTTCATATTCTCAACAGTTCTTATAAGTAAATCTATAGATGTAACTTTAATTTGAACAGGAAACAAAAATTATTATATTGTACTTCACAATTCAAGTCCTTGTCAATGGTTAAAAGGTATGTTACACTTTTATCTTCAGTTTTAAACAGATAGATATAATCACTTGAAGACTGACATAGCCACAAAGCAGGCATTTGACATAAAAATGATTTCTGCAACATCTGAAAGGTTACTTCCTTTAATATGTAAACATTGAGTTTCCTCGGTTTTCCTTGGACTCTGAATAAAATAGACAAATTCATAAAATTCAATTAAAACAAGAAGAATTGGATTCTCATACATGTATTCATAATTTTCTCGGTTTCTGAATAAAATCGAAAAAATTACAAAAGTAAATATAAAGAAGAATCGGATATTCATACAAGTATTTATAAATAAAATTATGGGAGATTACAGAAAGAGCTAGCAGTTCTCATTATCATAGTTAAAAACTAGATAATGTAAAGGGAATTTGCTGAAAATTTCAGTCAAATTGATCCACCCTGAACCGAGTATTTAGTGGTTGAATTTTGGGCCTAGCCTCGATCATCATTACTAAGGTCGGTACGATAAAAAAAAAAACATGGTCTCGATTATCCATTTTTTGATTTAATCAGAAGTAGCAGACTGGGCTCTAATCCAGTATATATCACAGGCTAGCGATGCCATCGAGCGTTGATTATGGTCTGGATGTCTAATTAATAATTTAGATAACATTCCTGGCCTAAAGAAAGACCTGCAATTGACAGATTTAGCTCTTGCATAATGTCTGTTTAATATTGATGAATTAAATGTTCATATACTGATCTTTTATAAGGAAACATCGAATGTTCATATTCATAATTAAGTTAACAGAAATTTAAGTTACCGGTGACTTCCTTGGATTCAATTTCTTTGTTGTTACGCTTTTCTGTAGAAGAATTAAGGTTGATAGTCTCCCAAACCCTTCTTTTAATCTTCCATATGTGGTCCCAGAATTTTTGTAAACATCTGAAATATTCATAAAATCAAAATAAAAAGGTTCCTACATACAAAACAAAAGGTTCAGATATAATTATTTTTTTTTCCATGCTTGTTGATTATTCATACCGGGAACAAGATTATTTCGGAATTTAAAAATAAAAGGATTTGACAGGTCAAGGTCAGTCATAAATAAATATACAATTTTAATTTTTATGGAGCTGCTCAGTTAAAACTTTGACCTTTAAAAAAAAATAATAATTAGTAATTCATAAAATTAAAGTAAAAGAAGATTGTTGAGAGAGAATCGTCATGCTGTCACACACTCATCGGGTGTAGTAATCGTCAATTTCATAACAAATTGAAAGTAGACTAGGCCTAGCTACGGCACTAATGTAAACAAACCTATATGCATACAACTTTGATGAGAGAAAGGGTAAAATCTAACGGGCAAACATGAAAATACAGACATTCAGCTAGTATGGGTTTAACTTAACTTCATTGTTTCATTGTAGGTTGTCAGGGTGGACTGCCAACTAGAATCTACATAATTAATTTCTTTTGAGTTTTCACTTACTTTTTCAACGAAATAATCCGACTCAACGTGTCTTGAACATATTGTCAAGGTCTTGTCATTTATCGGGTCTGATCTGGTAGACTGTATGATACGTAATGATTCTCTCTCCACTCTATGTTGTTTTTGGGTAAGCGATAGAATGATCAACCCCGATTTCTTTTATTGCAGGCGGAACATCCGAACAAAACACAATTCGCGCCAGGCATTTTGTTAGTGCGAGCAGAAACCGGAAGTACGCTGTGCCCGATATCAGCGTCAGAAGCCCGCCGTCACATAAGGTAGTGACGTCACACGGTGGGCGTTCCCGTTAGTATTCTAGTTCTATGGTATGTAGACTGGATAACCTGCTCTAATACGTCAGACTCGCTCCAACGTCACTCCTTTTCTGACTTGCATAATAGCGCAGTGACGTAGGAACTAGCCTGACGTCATTTAGAGCATGTTGTCTAGTCTACTAAGTATGTGGAAGACTAGGAGGTTCTGGGTGACCGAGACTAAGACGTAACTAGATATGAATGATCTGCCCGCTATTGGGCCTATTGACTTTGTAGTGAAATATTTTCAAAATCACTACATAATTAGCGTGTGTTCTCTCGAAAATAAGATTTTTAATACTAGTTATCTTAATCGGTGCTGATCACGTGACTGCATAATCAAAACAATAAATCAACCAATCACTAATGATATCTATGGTCAGACACGTAAATAAAGGTTAAGGTGTTTCCAGCAGACACCACCAACCTTTCATAATGGTAAAGAGATGTGCTTGGAGAACGTGTAATACGGACAGTAGATACCCGAAGAGACAGGAGGGATAACCTTTATATACTTCCCCAAAGTTTGGAAGAACACGCGATACTATGAGAGCCGACCCTACCTAACTCAGTAACTGACTCGATTCCAGAGATAGGTTGTCAATGCGGACAACTTTTCGAGTGGAGAAATATTAAGGCCCACACTAAGGTTATTATTTATTTATATTTTTATAGACTTTTTTTGCCTACTGTTTGTTTTTTTCTTTTCTTTTTTCAAACAAAATTTATGTACCGGTAGGCCTTGTCTTATAGGCTAATAAATGTGACTGTTTTTACAATGTGACATTAAAATGTCAGTAGGCCTATTTCCTGTCAAACATTTTGTACATATAAATTCATTCCGTTATTGAACCAGAGCAGAAGTGACAGCCAGTGGAAACAATCTTTTTCATAATATAATTAATATAGTTGATCTTATTTGACTGTACCTCACATAGTATGATATAGGCCTATAGGACAGATCTGCAGGTTAAATAGTTCAGACATGGGCCTTAACTTCAAGTTTGAACAAAATTAAGAAGTTATTGTTAACAAAAAACAGAAGGCGAAAGGCACACAAAGCAAATCAAGTTGCCAATTAAAAACTTGATAGTAATTATCTAGGAGAATGAAATGGTCATGTAAATTATATTATGTATCATATACTCAGCCAAATTAAAAACTTGACACTGATGAATTTCAACAATTTTTTTTTTCTGGTAAGTCAAATTTTTTTTAAAGTGTTTCTAACGATAGTAAGTAGTAAGAAGCCTTTAATTTCATAAAATTGTAAAGTCACGTGGATCACGTGACTTTTGAGCATATAAAGATGAAAAACCTGAAAAACATGTGCAAACACAAACTCGTGAGGTCAATCGATGCAAGTTTGCTTAAACTGAACACGCACACGTAACGAAATGGAAAATAATTAAAATTTTTATTTTCATCTTTGTTAGAAAATGCCGCGCCTTTCAAATGTAGAACGTCTACGTGCTATAGTAGGTTCTATGCTGGTCAGTCTGTGGTCACTGTTGCAAGAGCCTTTAATTGTTCACGCCAGACAATAATTAATCTTAGAATGATAGTGCTTCAAACTGGAACTATTGCCGACCGCCCAAGGGCGGGAGCGCCACGTGTGACGTCACTCCAGGAAGATCAATCAATACGATTACGTCATCTTAGAAACAGATTTGTCACTGCAACCTCCACAAGTAGAGAGATGTTTGGTGGAAGGGTAACTGCACAAACTGTTCGAAATCGCTTGCAGGCTGCTGGTCCTCGAGCTCGGAGGCCCTATTATGGATCAATATTGCCACCTCTTCATCGCCGTAACCGACTTGTGTGGACCACAAGACACATAAGATTTACTCAAAGACAGTGGAATTCGGTTGTCTTTAGTAACGAATCTCGATTCACTTTGAGATTTGCCGATGGCAGGGTCCGAGTGTACCGCAGACGAGGTGAATGTTACGCTCAAGTATGCGTCAGAGAAGTTGACCGAATTGGTGGCGGCAACGTCATGGTTTGGGGTTCTTTTTGTGCACATGGACGTTCTCCTCTTGTTGTTGTCCAAGGGAACTTAAATGCTGTCCAGTACAGGGATCAGATTTTGCAACCTGTTCTTCTTCCGTTTATGCAGAGACATGTGCCTGGACTAACGTTTCAACAAGACAATGCTCGACCTCGTACAGCAATTGCTACCCAGAATTTTTTAAGAAATGCCGGTGTCCAAGTCCTGGATTGGCCGTCGCTTAGCCCCGACCTTAATCCTATTGAACACATCTGGGACGAACTGGGTCGACGTGTTCGTCAGCAAGTGATTCCACCACTGACGTTGCAGGACCTTCAACATGCTCTTGCTGAGCAGTGGCGACGTCTTCCTCGGGTAGTGTTTACTAATGTTCTGAGATCCATGAGAAGACGTTGTGTGGCAGAACGAGACGCTAGAGGAGGCCACAACCGTTACTAAACACTTTAATACGATTGTTCTCCAAGTCTGTGAATTTCATTTTGGGGGGTACTGTGACATCACGAACGTTATCAGTGTCAAGGACTTTCGGCGAGACGTATTCGTGCTCTCTGTTGATGTCAAGGTCGTCTGTGCACAACATAACACTAAAATAGTTGCCTTAAACCAAATATTAAAAATCTAGGTTTAAAAATCTCGAGTGTCAAGTTTTTAATTTGGCTGAGTATAATAATAATATTTATAATATTATTTTTTTCATTTTTCAGCACTTTGTAAATGGTCAGCCACATCTTATCGCTGCACTGCATTATGATCACATGGCTCAACCATGACCACCACCCAAACCCAGTTCAAGTAATTTTTTAAAGAAATCTGCAATAGTTGAATCAAAGGTTTAAAGGTAACAATGGGTTTATCAGCTTTACAATGATTATTTCCTGTCACATGTGCTCAAAGTATAAGTCATACGGAGGCCTGGAATCACTGTCTTGTAGATGTGTCTTCTGTCCTATACAGGGGTTTTGGGTTGTCGAATGGTTAACACAGGCTGTCTGTCAGTCAGTCAAGTGAGGTGGTTTCAAACTATTCGAACCAATACTTGTATGTGGCAAGGCTCCTCTGTCCAACTTCGTGTGTTCTCTCCAGGGCCTCCTATGCTGAAGGCAATTATTGAAATAAAATTGGACAATTTGTCAGTCCAAAAATGACCTATCCAGTTTGTGTCAACTGGATGTTAAACTCCATTTCTCTCTGTCTGACACTACAAACTATTCTATATCATTTAGATATATTTCATTTATTTAGATCCTGGTATAAAGTACATACATTTTTTATGCATCTGTAACTCTAAGTTATGGTAATAGCATGAAATTAAAATTGAGAAAATTGTGTTAATGTTGCATTTTTTTTTATTAATGGCTAGTCTAATTATCATATTTATTTTTTTTATTTAAACAATATTTTATTCAAACTAGTGAATAGGATTGGGGAACAGGACAAAGCCTATATCACCCCTCTCCAGTACAAAGAAAAGTATATACAATATGATATACAAATATACAATTACATACATTTCAATATGCATAAACGTAAGTTATAACTCTAAACAAAAAAAAAACAAAAACAAAAAAACACCAATAAATATATGATAATCTTTCCCTGGAGATTTTTAAATAATAATTTAAATAATTATGACAATGTTAGTATATAATTATTTTATAATAATCCAATTCAATGTTTAAGCACATAAATGTTGTAGTAAAATCTTGGCGTCATAACATCATATTTATTAAAATTAGACGACAGGCTTTAGCAGCAAACAATTAAAATATTTTACTGCTGTAATTACAAAATTAGTCTCTATCAATCTCTGGTATAAAAATTCTAAAATATAATCATGTATGTACAAATTTCTTTACAGATATTCTATCAAGTCAAATCTGATTGAGTATGAAAACTGTGAAGAAAATGCTTTAATAAAATGGTACAGATAGAGAATATAGTTGATGCTGCCATATGGTTTCTACAATTTATATTCATTATCATTTTGCACTGAAAAAAAATCTTTCAGTGTATTGCATGCTTCTGTAAGTGTCATATCTCGAGCTGAAAAAGGACATTTAATTTCAATGAGCTTAGTCCCGCCTTTATCACAAACACTTGCATCTGGTGTAGCACCTAAAAATGGAAAAGTCCAATGTCATGAATATGATTCCCGGGCTGTTTGATATACATTTGTTTTGCAATGGTTTCATTTGCTTGCCCATAAGAAGTGAGAAAAGAATAAAAATGAGTTGTCAAATGTGTTTTCTAAAAATGAAACTTCTATTTCTTTCTTTCTTTTCATAACGCTCCAAAATTTGAGGCCGTAACACAACACTTTCTTTCGTTCATCTAAATGTTATTAATATTTCTTGTGGAATCGGGGGGTTGGATGGCTGAATGGTTAGCGTGCGCGCGCTGTATCATAAAGTCTGTCATTGAGTCGACTGGCGCTGTCCGGGCAAAATTTCCCTCATAGCACACTGTATGGCGTATGCCCGTCTTCATTAGCCCAGGTTAGGAGCAGAACAGTAGGACGTTAAACTCCATTTCATTTCATTTCATTTCATTTTCTAATTACTACCAATTGATGGTTTCGAATCCCCGTTTGTACGTGACAAGGAGTAGGGTCGCCTGTCCAACCTCGTGGGTTTTCTCCGGGTCCTCCGGTTTCCTCCCACTGCTAAAGACCCCTACGCGCAAGCGAATTATTGAAATAAAATTAAACCATATGTTAGTCCCGAAATGGAATCTCTATTTTTATGGCTTCATCTTGCTTTACATCTATTTATTTCTACTCAACTGTCATCTTTTCTATCTGATTTAAATCTAAATATACATCAACTGTTTTTTGAAAAACTATTTCACCACATTTATCAGAGTTCTCTGCTCTTGGTTGTGTTGTCACTTGTGTAAGGAGTGCCTGAAATACATATTATATAATCTATTTACTGTTTATATTTTTCAGGATTGTAGCAGTTTATTTACTAATTGGACCAATTATATGTTTTATAGACTTGGCTCTCTTGTTATATGGCCGCACAGAAATATTATCATTGAAAATATGCCAGAACAATTTAAAACTGATTATGGCTGACTTATATCTGTTGCGTTTTAACAAATTTTATGTGATTCCTTATTGAGAAATAAAAATGGAATACTAAATACTGCATTATGTCTTTGTTACTGTAAATACAGAGCGATAACTAATGATATTGTTTTTATACGCCCACATTTTCATGTGGACGTATTATGCCGTCGCCCCTGTCCTTCCGGACGTCCGTCCACAATTGTTTGTGGACTCTCTACAGGTCACAATTCTTATCCGATTTTGACGAAACTTGAAATATAGGTTTATCCCCAAAAGATCTCGGCTGCTCTCGATATTGGCATGTATCGGATCGAAACTTCATGGATTATGGCCCCTGATTGTACGAAAAATCACGTTTTTAGTTTTTATCCGAGTTTGTTGAAACTTGAAATATAAGTTTATAACCCAAAGATCTCCGTTCCTTTCGATAGTCGCGCATATCGGACCGTAACTTCCTGAATTATGGCCCCTGATTGTGCGAAAATTCGCGTTTTTAGCTTGTGGACCCTATAGAAGTCATAATTTTTATCCGATTTAAAAACCCGTATTATTATATCACCGTTACACCCTAAGAAGGACTGAGTTCGAATTTCGTGAAAATCGGCCCACAATTGACAGATAAAATGGCCGCCGTTCGTTCTCAAATAGCGTAAGAATATGGTATATCAAGGTTGTGGACCCTATAGAGATCACAATTTTTATCCAATTTTGTTGAAACTTGAAATGTAAGTTTATAACCCAAAGATTTCGGTTCCGTTTGATATTCGCGCATATCGGACCATAACTTCCTGAATTATGGCCCCTGATTGTACGAAAAATCGCGTTTTTAGCTTGTGGACCCTATAGAAATCATAATTTTTATCCGATTTAAAAAACGTATTATTATATCACCGTTACACCCTAAGGACGACTGAGTTCGAATTTCGTTAAAATCGGCCCAAAATTGATAGACAAAATGGTTGTGGACCCTATAAACGTCACAATTTTTATCCGATTTTGTTGAAACTTAAAATGTAAGTTTATAACACAAAGATCTCAGTTCCTTTCGATATTCGCGCATATTGAATTGTAATTTCCTGAATTATGGCCCTTGATAGTAGGAAAAATCACTTTCTTGTTGGCTTGTTCTCTATCCATCTCTCGAAAATGTGGGCGTATCCTGCCTGGCAGCCGCTGGTTATTACGGTTATGAATCTGTGGTTTTGCTGAAAAACCTATACAAGCCCAAATCAATATAATTACATTATTACATACATGATAAGCAAGTGGGGATCCAATAAGTTGAGGACCAAAGGATGTTGTTATGGAGTCTGCTGTGCTGCTCACCAAGTATTAGACTGTAGTATTTTGGCATCTGATACTTGAATTTTTCTGAAAAAGAAAGTATTAAGCTACAAAACAAGCATACCGGTATTCAAAAAAGTTGCATTACACTCCTTGTATTTCACCATACCTTTTGGAGGTATCACGTCATTTGAGACTCAACATAAACGACATATAGGGACTCAGCTGACGTCATTTGGGACTCAATATAAACAACATTTGGGACTGGCAATATAAACGATATCTGGGACTCTTAAGAATTTATGTAGAAATAGTAATAACTTATCTTTTTTCGTTTTAGATGATCATATTTTTAACTGGACGATCACAATAATAACATCACTCCCTAAGAACATTTTCCTATGTGGTGGTTGCCCATGTCATCTGAACACTTACCTGTTGTCGTTAAGTTAGCCATTACAGGCTTTCTTTTTCTGTTTACATTCCCAGGTCTTGATATTAAAATAATCTGTGAAACAGGGTCTGGTTACATTTTTGCCACCCTTGGTTTATATCACTGTTGTGGTAAACTCGTTTATGGTGGATGGCAAAGAAGGGACATATTTTTATTCTGCTATCTTCCATTCTAGCACACTTTCCTCCCATTCTAAAAATACAATTATTTTGCAAGGTTAGGCCTACTAGAGTATGAGATTAAAATACATTACTATTATTATTAGTGCAAGAACAAATTGATTACGGTACTAATACTATAGGCTAGACTAGTTAGATGACACAAGATTTGGGTCTATTATTGTATGAAAATGAATAAAAATCAGCAAGTTGCAAGACAATTTTTAAGATAGCCCACATAATATATACTGACAGAAATTGTCTAAGGAAAAATCGCAAATTTCAAAAGCCCACTTAAAAATTGTACTAGGTAAGATTCAGAAATTAATGCCATATCACTAAAGTTTACATGGAGTGAATGAATGAAAATACTAGAAGTAGAATATCAACTATCATTGGATTCCAGGCATTTACCTTCTTCATTCATTCACGTCAGAAACGATCAGTGAAAAGATAAAATAGATTCGTAACTTGTTAATTTTACCTTTATCTATATCCTGGTTCATGTGTAGACCTATCGGCGGGAACTGCGTTCAAACCCCTTCTTTTTTATCTTTCACCCACCGCACAAACTGCATTGATATAGAAAGTCATTAGCATAGTATTTTTAGTAGTACTAGTAGAAGTCAACTATGGCTATGCTTAGTGAACAAAATGGAAGATACAAACAAACAGGCATCTCTGCCTTTGAACTTTCTTTGCGGTAATTGTTATCTTATACGCATCAGTAATGTGCATAATCATGCATTCTAAGTGCCACTTTTCTGTATTTCATTATCATTATGAAACCGTACTCATGTACTCATGTAGTTTTAATATTGTTCATTTCAGATATTATCATTCTTCCTGTAGAATAAACATACTATTAGTCACTACGAAATACCCACGACTCACAGCTCGCTGTAGAACTCCTCAAGATCCATGGCCTCACACACGTGACCACCCACAGCACCACCGCTGCCAAAGTCGAGAAAGTCAACCGACCGACCATTACTACAGGTATCAGTTTGGCTGATTGGAACTACTTTCGAATAAGATGGAAAGATTACGTCGATGCAACCGGCATTACCGGCAAAACATTGAATATTCAAATCCTAGAATGCTGTGAAGAGCAATTGCGACGCGATCTAACACGAAACACAGTTGGCTCCCTCACAAACAGGACCATTGATGAAATACTAGACAGCATGAAGCAACTCGCTCGAGAGTCCGATGGTAGCCCGAGCAGAACTTCATGATATGATCCAAGGTCACGACGAACCTATCCGTGCCTACTGCGCAAGAGTTCGTGGACAAGCCACCGTCTGCCAGTATACCATTGATTGCCCCAGTTGCACACATACAGTCGACTACACTGACCTCTTGATTAGAGACATCATGTGTCAAGGTCTATCAGACAAGGACATACAACTGAAACTATTAGGCGACCGTAACCAACACCTTCATTGGAGGAAACACTACATTTTATAGAAAAGAAGGAATCTGGCAAGCGCTCTGCCTCCCGCCTGTCACACACGTCCCAGGCTACAGCCGCAAGCAGCTCAAACCAACAAGCCTCATTGGATTCTGGCTACTTCAAAAGCATTGCAACTGTCCGGCCGTTGACACGAAAACACTTTTCTGTTGCCCAGATGGTTGGAAAATCGCTTTAGTGGGCAGTCGTTTCACTCATCCCGCTGAATCTCGTTACGCACCAATCGAGGGTGAGGCACTGGCAGTCGCAGACGCACTTGATCGTGCCAGATATTTTGTCCTCGGATGCACCAATCTGTACGTAGCCGTAGACCATAAGCCCTTGTTGAGTATCTTCGGATCGCGAGCCTTGGACGATATCAGCAACCCCCGCCTTCGCAATCTTAAGGAGAAGACGCTGCGCTATCGCTTTCAACTGATACACATACCTGGTGTAAAAAACAGGGCCTCCGATTGCATGTCACGCTCACCATCAGGCCCACGTGCACCCAACAAGTATCACCTCATCGATGACAACGGTGCCATTACACATGGACATATTGGATGTGAATCACTTTCTATGCTACGTATCCACTCGCCCACCAAGCACAGCATCGAATCCGAACTTGAAGAAGCAGCCTTTACCTCATTGGAAGATTTTAACTCTATCACATGGGATCAAGTACGGGAGGCCACCAACAGTGATCAAAACCTTGTGGACCTAATTAACTTCATCGAAGAAGGTTAGCCCTGCGCAATTATCATCGGTTCCGGGACGACTTATACACATTAAATGGACTACTAATGTACATGGATAGAATCATCATCCGTGACCAGTGCATTCGTGCCCTCCACTCAGCGCACCAGGGCACCTCAATGATGACAGCAAGAGCAGAATCATCCATTTTCTGGCCAGGCATCACTAATGACATCGCTCAGGCTAGATCACAGTGCTACCATTGCAACAGAATCGCACCCTCACAACCTAGTGCTCCACCTACTCCTTTAGTCGAACCACAATATCCGTTTCAGTGCATATGTGCCGATTCTTCGAATACAAGGGACACAACTACCTCGTTATAGTTGACCGGTACTTTAATTGGCCGATCGTCGAACGCGCCTCCGAGGGCGCAACTGGTCTAGTCAATTGCCTCCGCCGAACTTTCGCAACATATGGTATCGCCGACGAATTATCATCCGACGGGTGGCCTGAATTCACCTCCGCCACAACCAGAACCCTCCTTAAACAATGGGGCGTACATCATCGTCTATCATCCGTTGACTTTCCGCACGGTAATTGTCGCGCAAAAATAGGATTGAAAACCATAAAGCGTCTCATCGCCAACAACACAGGTCCTAGTGGTACTTTAGACACTAATACGTTCCAACGGGCAATCCTACAGTATCGTAACGCCCCTGACCCTACAACAAAGTTATCACCATCCCAATGTGTATTCGGCCGACCTACAAAGGACTTCATCCCCATTCATCCTGGTCGCTATCTCCCGCATCCTACGTGGCGCTCTACTTTGGCGGCCCGCGAGGAAGCTTTGCGTAACCGACACATACGCGACGCCGAACGTTGGTCAGAGCATACACATCGCCTTCCACCACTGAAAGTAGGTGATACAGTTCGAATTCAAAACCAAACGGGACCGTATCCAACCAAATGGGACAAAACCGGTACCATTATAGAGGTCCAACAATTTGACCAATATCTTGTCCGTGTGGATGGTTCCGGACGTTTTACCCTTCGCAACAGGAAATTCCTCAGAAAGTATGTACCTGTTAAGCTGCCATCCTCTCAACGATCAATCTTAGACGACCTCCGGGCCATCCCATATCACCCACCTGACCTCAGAGCCGACTTGCCTCAACTTGAAGAAACACAGCTGGACACTCAACAAAGAGGATCTAGAACCGTCACTCCAACTTTGCAAGATCAATCTACCCCTGTTCCACCGACCATTGTCCCATCTCCTTCGCACGCAAGACCCCCAGTGATATCGCCTCCACCTCCTCGTCAATTGCAGGACAAACCCCTACCACCAACAACCAATCCAACTGCCACCGCTGAACAAACTCAACCACCTTTACAGTTACGACGATCCCTCCGTGCGCGAGGACCACCGGTTTGGTTAAAAGACTATACTAAATAGTGCAACACTAATAACTATCAGTTCCAATACTATTATTGACAATATCTCATGGAACTTGGGGGGAGATAGAGAATTATTAAAATTAGTGGTCTCAATCCTTTGACATTAAATTAGAGTTATCTGCTTAGTGAACAAAATGGAAGATACAAACAAACAGGCATCTCTGCCTTTGAACTTTCTTTGCGGTAATTGTTATCTTATACGCATCAGTAATGTGCATAATCATACATTCTAAGTGCCACTTTTCTGTATTTCATTATCATTATGAAACCTACTCATGTAGTTTTAATATTGTTCATTTCAGATATTATCATTCTTCCTGTAGAATAAACATACTATTAGTCACTACGAAATACCCAAGGGTTATTCTCTACCTTGCTCGTGCTTGTACCAGTAAACTGACGGTCACAAAATTCATTAAATTGGCTAATACTAACGCAGTCCACTTTGCGCGCGCAGATTACTCAATGGAAATTAGACGGAGATCCGCGCAAGGGGTGAAGATTGCGCCTAACATCTGTACTAATAATTGTGAAGTTGACATAAAATTATCAAATATCAAATGGAGTTTGTCTTACTGTTCTGTACCAACCCGTATAATGAAGATGGGCGTACGTCATACATTATTGTTTGAGGGGGGGGGGGCATTGTACGTGTACAACTAGTATGCAAGTGTCATCGTCAGTGTGCAAGAGAGCCGAGGAGACTTAGTAAAGGACTGGCTCACTTACCGGGCGGCCCAGGGTTTGATCTAGTCCGGCGTTGTTTCACCTTGACCTAGACAGTTCCCCATACTTTCCAGCATAGTTTCCTCTTGTCAGTATTGCAGGAAGCGGGGGGGGGGGGGAGTGGGCAGCGTCCAGTTATTCGGGTGGAATATAAAACTAAGGTCCCGTGCACAAATAAAGAGTAGACCATAATGTATGGCGGGCATATGTACATCTTCATTATGACGGTTTATTTTTTTTCTCTCTTCATTACAACTGCCACTCCCATACAGTATTATTTAGGTTTTGACATATATCTATTTTAGTGAGAAAATTACATATAGATGCTTTGTTTCAATTCAAATATTTGTTAGGATTTTAGTCCCAAATCTAATCTGAACTAAAAGTTTTACATATATATATTAGTAGAAATACTGTTTTGGGGGAGCTTATATGCTCTCCCGCCCTCCCAGATTCGTTGAACCGTCCATTTTTCGGGCAATGTATGTCAGTTTTTCGGGCACAAGCTTCAGAGAATGGAGAATGCTACCATATCTCATGGAAATATAATTGTATATTTGTGTAATTAATTCAAAATAAACAATCATCATAGCTTTGTGGAAAATTCATTTTAGTTAATGATTGATTCATTCAGAAAATTTGGGTGACAAATTTTTCAGGCAAATAGCCACCACCCCACCCCCAACAGAGATTAT